ACTTCTTGCCACCACTGTTTGCTTCTTGCTCTTCCATGTTACAAGATTGCCACCTAGAAATGTACAATACCCTATGGTTGGCCTCCTATCTGATATAGAGCCAGCCCAATCAGCATCTATGTACCCTACTATCTCAAGAGTTCCTCCCTTTTGGTATAACAAACAACGACCTGGAGCACCCTTTAGGTACCTAACAATTCTCAGAACAGCTTCCTAGTGAGGAACCCGGGGATGTTGCATAAATTGACTGACCACACTCACAGCAAATGATATATCTGGTCGGGTAATGGTCAGRTAGTTCAACTTTCCCACCAACCTTCTGTATCTTCCAGGATCATCAAACTCTTCACCTGCATCCACACTTAGCTTGGCATTGAGTTTCATAGGAGTCTCTGCTGGTTTAGCACCTAACAACCCTGTTTCTTCAAGTAGATCAAGAACATATTTCCTCTGACATAGGTTGATCCCTTGTTTTGACCTTGCAACTTCTATTCCTAAGAAGTACTTTAGCTTCTCCAGATCTTTCGTATTGAAGTGATCTTGTAAGAATTTTTTCAGTCTATCAATTCCATTGCTATCACTTCCAGTTATGACAATATCATCCACATACACGACTAGCAAGATTTTTCCATCTTTTGAGTTATAGCTGAACACAAAATGATCAACCTGATACTGTTCCATCCGAAAGGCCTTCACCACTTCACCGAACCTGCCGAACCATGCACGAGGAGATTGTTTCAATCCATAGATTGCCTTTTTGAGCCTACACACCTTACCAGCCTCCCCHTGAGCAACAAACCCTGGTGGTTGCTCCATATACACCTCCTCAACAAGATCACCATGTAGAAAGGCATTTTTTATGTCAAGTTGTAGGAGAGGCCAATCATACATAGCAGCCAATGAGATCAACACCTGAACTGAACCAATTTTAGCCACAGGAGAGAATGTCTTTATATAGTCCACACCATATAACTAAGAATAGCCCTTGGCCACCAACCGTGCTTTCAATCGTTCCACACTGCCATCAGGAAGATGCTTCACTGTATAGACCCATTTACACCCAACARTGTGYTTACCAGGAGGAAGGRTGGTGAGTTCCCAYGTGTGATTATGTTGTAGAGCAGAGAGTTCTTCTTCCATGGCTTGCC